AAAATTGTTATAACTTAAAAAAATTAAAAAAAATTTTTTTAAAAGAAATTTATAATTTTCTAAGTAAATAATAAAAAGAAACTACAAAATCATTGAATTTTCAGCTCGCTATGATTTTTCCAAGTCATATATATCTTCTCCTAATTTCTAACCACCCTAACTCCGTCAGTTTTAATAATAGCAAAAAATGTCAAATATCATTTTTATGTAAAACGTTATGCTTTACAATTTTTATTAAGAACTTTTTTATAGCACCTACCGTTTTTAAATAACCTTAAAAAAACACTTTATTTTCTTGTTTTTTGACATTTTTCGGTGCCTGAAAAACAAAATTTTTTTAACATATCGTTTTCAAATACTCTAAAGTGACTTATATCAAAAATTTCTGTATTTCCTCCAAAATTTTGATTTAAAGGTCTTTTTGATTGGACTAATCGCTGACGTAGTCAAAGAGATTGTCGAATTGTCCAGGATCACATACTTTGATCAAAGTATGTGTCCAGGATACACATACTAAAGGTATGCTGACTTTCGATTCAAAATTCGTCCAAACCGCGCATGACGTAATGCGGGACGAACTTTCAAGTTATTTTGACATTTCGATTGAGTAGTGTAAAATAATTTAATAATTTATATGTTTTTGTGTTAGTAGTGACTATATTTTCTTATATATAACAGGGAAGAACTAAATTAATGTTTAAAATGCCGGGCTGCGTAGTGGAGATATTTCCGAATGCCACAAAATATGGGTAAATTCTTATCGAAGAAAGGACAAACTTAATTGAAATTGTCCTTTTGATGAAAGTAGTTGTGAGATTCCTCTTAAACATAGACGCAAGAAAAGGAAACTGAAATCCACCAGGTGAACGGGCCTCATTAAGAAAGACAATAAATCGTTATTTAAAAATTTTAGCAGATAAAACAGTAGTTTCCTATCCCAATACAACGGTCCTTTTGAAGTAATGCCATGCATGAGCAGGACACGAACTTATATAAGAATAAGATAAATGAACAGGAAAATTGGTTTTTGAGTATTTTCAAAGTAAACTTGACAAAAAATGTTTAAAGTACCAAATAAAAAGTACTTTTTGTAAATAAATAATTTGTTCCTGACCACTTATTTTTATTTCACATAATAAGGAAAGAGGTTGCAAGAGAACTACTACGCCTAGAAAGTACAAATTTTAGTCAAACTTGTATTTTTAGTCTATATATTTTACTTATGGCCAGGTTATGGATTTTGTCACAAAATACCCATAATTTATGAGAAAAATTAATATTTTTATTAGTATGATTTACCTTAAACCTTCATATTTGTAAACGAATATATTACAAAATAACCAATAAAACTTAAGTAACTGAGTAAAATCTGAAATTGGCAAAATATATCTCCCATTTAATGCTTATAATTCTGTCCCACGTGACATCACCGTCAGTCAGCTGCATGCGCAGGAACATACCGTTAGTCTGTGTATAGTAAAATTGTCAAGATGAATGTAATGGCGTATTCGACTACCCAGCGCTGGCTCCGATCAAATTCGAAACATGAAAGTGCAGTTGTAATGTAAAATCAAGAGCGGATAGTGCCGATTCGAACGCGCGCTGGGGCAGTGCGAATTTTCAAAAATTTGAGCTGGCTTTGTGAAAATCCGAGTTGAAGCGTTCGTGTTCGCACCGATTTCACTTGCCGATTATTTGTTTACTTTTTCACCTAACCTTTAAATTGATAAATTATAATTTATCATCAAATATTAATTTTTTTTACTTATGTGTCTGTAGGCTATCCATATTTTATTTTCTTTTCCGGAATTTCTATTTTACAATTTACAGAAATAGTGTTAAATGATGAAAATGAGCCAATAGTTATGGAAGATGCCAAAAGACGCCAAAGAAAGACCGATTTCAAAATTGAGGTTATTTTATCATAAAAAATCCAGTGCAATCTACTTGCACCGCCAAAAATTACAGTTCCAAAAAGTTCAAACGCTGGATGAACCAAGCTAACAACCCGAACACAAATTATTGCTCTGCCCGCGCTCGGCTCGGGTAGTCGAACATGGGAAATATTTGCTCGCTTATGAGCTGAATCAACCCGAACATAAATTATTGCACTGCACTCGCAAAATGCGAGCTGAATGCGCACTAGTGCAGGTAGTCGAATACGCCATAAGATTTCGAATTCAACCTCCCGTTTCAAATAATTTTCAATTTTTCAACCAACTGCTGTATAGCATCGTCTTAGAAAACATGAAATTATATGCAGACACTTTCTTAGATCGTATTAAATGATAATATAGAAGTTTTAATTGTGCCAAACGTCATATAATAAACTATTTCATTTTAATTGCATTTTGCATATAACTAAAAATTAATTTCTCGAATCTACATAATTATTTAATATTTATTCGTAAAATGTTTACGACTTTTTAAATAATTAAAAGTCTTAATTCGAAATGCTTACACTTCCACTTTTTTCAAACTGTAGAATAAAATTATAGCCTTATTGGATTTCCCGAAGAGCATGAAAAGCTAGTAAAAGATTGGAAAGCTTAATTGCGTTAGCGGAAACTGGATAAATTGACAATTAAATGCCAGTAATCTCGTTAAAAGGTTTTGTTTAATACATTTCCGACGTTTAATCATATGGGCGGTAAAATTATTGTTTAATATGACAAAGAAAGTTTTATGACATCACAATGAAAACACATCGTTCGCGATTAAATAGCCTTATTAGTTTTTGGGCGGAGTTGCTGTAGGCAGTCGCCATAATATCTGTTAAACTATTAGTTAACAAGTAGCCTGGCGACTAAAGGCGTGGCAAAAGGTGAAAGTCATATGCCTTCCTAGATTGGAAGGTTTAATGATATAACACCGAAGTCGTAACGCCCAATCAGTCTATTAGGATATTGATTATGTCCTAAAAAAGAGGACGTTAAGGAACTAGCGCGTTCGCAGGATTTTATCAAATGAGTTATTAAAATGGTCATTAAAGATGAAAAAACCGCAGAGTGCTATTGAATTAAAGGGTGGAAATTGTAAATAGGGTTTAAAATGAAACCTTTACACTTTTTTAATTATATCTCAAAAACGAAGAAAAATTCAGGCATAGTTAGTTGTAGAGAATGCGATTTCCCGTCTAAATAGGTTATTTAAAACAAAAAAAGAAATTAAGTATGTAAAAAATATTAAAAAAGAATTAAAAACATGCAAAATCTCCAATTTTTTGTTTTTTAATCTTTGCTATTTTTGCTTTTTTTAAAGAGAAATAGGAATCGGCATTGCTTTATATAAAGACTAAATTTTCTTTAAAATGGTGGGTAAAAATATTTTCGGGTAAAAATATTTTCGGATAAAAACAGACTGAGATATAACCGCTCTAACTAACCGTTTTAATTCTTATATCTCTAAATCAAAATGGATTTTTATTTAATAAAACAAGTATTTTAAGTTGATTCAATTCAATATTTTTATGAATGTATAAAACTATGATCGATTTATGAACAAAATTACAACATTGGAAAAAAAATTGTGAAATTTTTAAATAAAAATATTTTCAATTAAAATGTTATATGGACACGCTTTTACGTAACAATGCAACTGAAAAAGAAATATAATCTGCATCAAAATACATTTTGTCTATTTTCTATAGAATATAGCTAAGTTACACCTTTAGCAACTGTCGCTTCTAGCTTTTCTTCAAATTATCTTGCCCAATTACAGTCGACACGCGATGTCATTAAGCACCATAGTTTAAGAACATTATATTTCCAAATTCAGCAGTGAAATGGCAACTAATCATTTGAACCCTTTCGACTTTGGTTGGAAAAAATAAAAATATGGTTTGATTGCGATTTTCACAAATGAATCAATCACCTGTGTGTAATATTTTGCTCAAGAAAGTGGCTTGTGGATGTACCATAGGTTGCCACAGAAGCTGTGGTTGTAGAAAGTTGGGAATAATTTATTTAATATTTTGCAAACAATGTATGAATGTCAATTGCGAAAATGTACGAGTGACAGAAATTACAGAAGACGATGTTCTTGTAGACATAGACAAAGACATCGATATACAATTTGATAACATTATTAAAGAGATATAAAACAATAAAAATAAAATCATGCTTAATCTAACACCACTACATACATTGATTCAAGACGAAGCCAGATCTTTCACATACAAACTGCACAAAGGTTTATCACCCATAAGCAGTTTGCATGGACGTGACCACAGAAAACTATATAAAGATTTGGAGAACGACGAAATAATGGGAATGCTTTCAGACAAAATACTCTCAAAATATAGCTTTAAAAAGCAATATAAAGTGAGTATAACAGACCTGGTATACAGACGGTTCCAAAACCCATGAAGGTTGAGGCGTAGGTATATATATTACCAAGCCATCAGTTTACCTAGGAAGGCTGCCGCTACCCAGATCTATGTATATCGTGTCTCTCGTGGTAACATAACTCAAATTTCCGAACTTGGCAAACATAAACTATTTTTTCCTGTTTTATTATTTGTCCAAACAAAATCTTGTGCCAGGTATAGTGTAAAAACAATTTCGGAGTGTAACTCCGCGTAAGGGGGAGCCCTCCCGTCCAATCAAAACCGGGTACCAGACTCTGTACTCGCGTCGTATCCGCGAACGTATCACTGCCGCCTCAAAACCACCAAATGTAAACGTTAATGTGTCTAACAAACACGCCGCACTCTACAGCCCGAAGATATTTGGAGCGACACATACCCACTCTTGCAAAAGAGTAAGTGCCACCAGAAATCCGACTCTCCCAACCCGGGGTCATATTCCACATTTAGAAGAAACCCCTTGGCCGAAAATTCATCGCAAAAAAGTTTGGAGAAAGTACTTACAAATCTGGTGAAAGACAGCAACCCAAAACAGCCGGCTACGGAGAGCCAAGGCACCGCAGAATCTCAGAATCCACATCCAGACAGCCAACAAAATCAGCCACAAATAACAGAGAAAAATGAAACTATGTAGAAAATGAACGAAAAAGTTTGGAGAATACCAGACTCGAAAGTATGGAGAACGCTGCTGGCAGACCCGAAAGTTACGAGAATGCTGCCGACCCACGGCCAGAGCAGCCGCTGAGTGATACTTACACAGAGACCAGCGACCAAAACAACAATTCGCAATCACCACAATACAGTGTCGACGGATCGAGATCAGATGCCAACGACAGTATGGAGAAACTTAGAAAGACTCTCGAGCGTTCTAACAGCCCAGACTGAGATTATTCACCCGACCTGCACATTGAAGAAGATAAATTGGACACAGACACCCCGGACACAATAAAAAATTCTTCAACTTTTGAGACGAAAAAAAAGTATGGAGAAAATTCAAAAATCCCGCACAACAGTCCAAAATTCAAATCTGCATACAGAACCATTGCAATGCCAAGTCACGTTACAGCTAGAATCCTAAACTTTGGACAAAATGAGATTTCTTCAGGGGAGGAATCAACAAACAATAACGAGGCACCTCCACCCCCGATGATCCTACAAACTGCGGTAGATGTTCACGGACCACCACTACTTCCACAAAGGAACCACTACACCTTCCCAAAATCTCCAATACCAAAAAGGAAAAGGACGAACGAGATTCAACCCCAAAACCTGGAAGAAATACAGGTAGTAGAAATGGACACGGACGCAAATAAAGAGAAATATCAAACTTCCAAAATGTTTCCACTAATTTTGTAAAAATTCTCAGACAAAAGGCGGTGAGATCATAAGCACTAAAAACAAATACGAAGTCTTGACAGAATCGAAATCAGTGAATAAAGTAGAACACAAGGGTCCCCCCAAAACAAAGGGAGAAAACAGCAAAACCCAAGCACTACCCAAGTACTAAGAAAACGGCAATGCCACCCATAGTAGTAAAGGGCACAACAGATAATCACTAAAATCTTAAAAGGGACCTGAAAAAACTAATTTCGGGGACTTATACTATATTTGTAATCAGATGTTATAAATTAGTATAAACGATTCCAAACTTATATAAAAATGTGCTCGGTGGCGCAGAACGTACAGTGGTCAAAATTTGGATAGTGTGGATAGCAAAGTCGGTGGTTCGATCCCCGAAACTTTTAGTTTTTTTTTGTTTTTTTTTTCCTTAAAAAAAGGAAAAATATTATTGTTTTATTATTTCACAGTCTTGGTAATTTAAAATGTTTAGTTTTTGAAAAGTATATACTTATTCAATGGATAATGGCGCATAACGAGGTTTATTCAAGTTTATCTAATTTTAAAAATGCAAGCTACCAGTGGAGACTTCGATTATTTAAATTCAATAAGATAAACAAATAGGAAATATATTTTTTTTTCAATAACTACAAAAATATTAATTTCTCATTTATTCAATAAAAAAAAAATTGTTTTCTTATCGGTCACCACGCTCAAAAGTGTAACTTTAATAATTATCAAAGAACAAACTTGAATTAATATCAAAGAAAAAAAATTCTGCATAAAAAAAAATAAATAAATAATTATAATTACATAAGTTGATAAAAACTGCTATGCAATAGCTTTACCGCGGCAGTTCCCGAGTGCCACACGTATTTTTGATAATATTGTATTAAATTATTCTATTATAGAAAAAATATTGAACCTCTAGGAAATTAACCATAGTTTCATTTTCCAAACTTAAAGGTCATGGCAATAAAGTTATCTATAGAGCTACTATTGTAGCTACCTAGTGATTGCCTTAAAATTTAAAAAAGAAATAATCATTTCTTAAAAAAAGGTTTCCATCTTAATAAAATTAATGCTGCATTGTTTTCAGTCCGTGATTCTTAGCATGTTATTTATTTATTTATTTATTTATTTATTTATTAATAAAACTCAAACAGGCCTTACGGCCTTTTTACATGAGTAGTACAATACATAATATACATAATAATATATAATATAATCATACATATGACATTATGACACTTTACATTTTTACTTGTATGAATGGGTTTGAATATCAAGACTGCAAAGGTTCACAACAATCAGCGGAAACAGCATACATTTTTAAATACTCAAAACATTAAGGTACTCATTAAGATTTCTTTGATAATGTTTGTAACTCACATGCCAGTCAAAGTTAAACAAAGAATTAAAATTATTTGCGAGTCGAAGTACAAATGAAAGAGGAGATTTTAGGGTACTATTGGATATATTGAATATAAAGGGAGACCTAGTGCGCCTAGGAGGAACATTAAATTGTATGAGTAGCAGTAATTCATTTGAGTTTACTTGGTTATTTAAAATTTTGTATAAAAATGTCATCATAAACTGTTTCCGTCTATTAATCAGTGAGGATATTCCAAATTCTTGTCGTAACATAGATGTTCGTACGTAATTGTAGTCTGGCCAATGACAATGTTTTTGTAGTAAAGAATACCTAAGAAATTTGTTTTGAATTTTTTCCAATTTATCTAAGTAAATTTAGGGTTGTTGACCCCAAATAATCGAGGCATATTCTAATTTTGTCCTAACTAGTGAGTAGTAAAGATATTTTATAGTATTTAAATTAGAAAAAGCTTGAGTTTGTCTAATAATGAACCCTAATATACGGTTAGCACTAAGAGCAATTTTATTTATATGCGAACCAAACGAAAATTGATTGTCTTAGCTTACACCGAGGTCTTTAATTTCGGATCGTCTAGTTAAAATTTGTTGGTCCATCTTAGAGTCAAATATAATAACATTGTCTCTCTTACGGTCAATTGTAAGTATAAAGCATTTCTTAATGTTAAATTTTAACTTATTATTTTCACTCCACTTATAAATGGCATTGATATCTTTTTGTAAAGCTACACAGTCTCTAACGGTTTTTATGCTTTGATACATTTTAAAATCGTCAGCAAAAAATAAATATTTGGAGTGTTGTATATAAGAAGGGAGATCATTTATAAATAAAATAAACAACAATGGGCCCAAGTTGGATCCCTGTGGTACTCTTGAATTGGCTTCATACTTACCTGATGTATTTCCATTGAACTTGACTATAAAATGTCTATTTTCTAAATACGTTTTTAATAATACTAACAAATTCATAGATAAACCATAGTTACACAACTTTTGCAGCAAGATATCATGATTAATATGATTAAAAACTTGAGTAAAATCAGTATAAATTATATCTAGTTTCGTTTTGTCCTCCAAAGCTTGCACTGCATTTTCTGCAAATAAAAGTAAGTTGCTATTAACAGATCTCCCACTAATAAACCCATGCTGTTCATCTACTATGATATTTTGCACATGATTAAGTAATTTGTTATATAAAATTTGTTCAAATAGTTTTGAAGGTGCACACATAATCGCTATCCCTCTATAATTTTCGATCTCGCTTTTTTTTTCTGACTTGTGAATAGGTGTATATATCGCCGTTTTCCACTTTAGCGGAAACTCGGAATTGGCAAGAATAAGATTATATATATGAAGTAAAGGAACTTTTAATAAATGACCACAGGCTTTTACAATATAAGGCGGAATATTATCTACACCTGCACACTTTTTTGGTTTTAATTTTTTTTATAGCATCATCAAAATCCGACTCATTGACCTCTTTTAAAACCAATAAATTATATTGATCTGATATATTTATATTATTTAAATCATAGTTAGACTTTTCAAGACTGTGCGCAGATGCCAAAAACTCTGCAAATTTATTTGAGATATCTTTCTCGGGTACTGAGTTTCCACTAGAAGTAAATGAATTTGCATTGCATTTGTTACTTTTTATTTTATTTATAAAATTCCAAAACGTATTCAAGTCACCTAACATATCACTTTCTATTTTTTTGAGATTATTTCTATACTCTATTTTTATCATTGACTTTAATTGTCTTCTGGTAGCCTATTTAGTACGTAATAAGTACTATTCTATATATAATACTATAATGTGTACGTAGCCTAATTTCACTTGGCTTTTAGCACTATCTTCCAAAGTACATACTACTACTACTACTACTTATTCCATAAAATTAGCCTCTCGATAATTAATAACAACTATTACATAACGTTATCTTTTTCAAATAAAGTTGAGGAATTTTTGCGGTAGAATAAGTTAGATCCATTCTGTTAGACTTCCACTCTTTATTGATTTTTGATTAGCATATGAATGGGGAAGCGCGGGAAAATGTATAATTAGAGGGAGAAATTACATTATTGTTATGCTTTTCCCGTTTCCGTGCGACCTAAATAAATTTTCGATTCCGTTTTCTATGTGATTCTACAGATTGCGTCAGATCTATTGTTAATACTGGTAATATTGGAATCTAACCTTACAATGCATAATTTTGTCATTGATTATTCAATATGCAGAAGAATAATTGAAATGGATAATAGATACTGAGAAACAATTCAATTAATTTACTTAAAATACAATGCGTAATAATTAATCGTTTAGCTAATAATAATTAACATCATAATTATACTGAAAAAAAGTCTTATATAAATAAAGTATTATTTGGAAAAATACATATTTTGTAATCCGTAAAAAATGAAGCACTTTTAAAAACTGTTTAATTTGCATTTTCAAAGCTCTGTTTAGACGTGGACTCTTTTGTTCAGAATGTTATATAATATTTATGAAACATTTAGAAAATTTAACATTTGAAAACTATAGTACTATTTTTCCATGAAAAAAGGGCGATGTTATCTCAAGCTTCCCATTAGAGATCCGATTTCTTAACTATTAGGCTTTCCAGAACAGTAGATCTTGTTCCTTTTAAAAATGGCAGCCTGTAGACCCATTGAAGGAGGTTTATTGGTGCTTTGTTGAAAAATTAAAATAAATATTTTAGTTATTCTATTATTTTTAATACTTTGAAAACCACCTACAAACATTTAACACAAGATGTTGGTTTTACGATTATGTGATTTGAGCTATATAATAAGTGGTGTGGGTCTGTCTATAAGATCTAAATAATTCCAACTATACGAAATGGGATTGGGCGCCACTGTACTTATAAACATATCTTTAGTTATAAACGTAATTTATAACAGTACAAAATAATCATCACTAATAGAATTAAATGTAATACAGATATATTTACTTACACAGAAAAAAATTATCATCTACATTCAAGAAAACACTTGGAAGATTACATTTGTTTGAAATAAAGCAGAGTTTGCTTCAAATAATATTTCTCGATACAATAAGAAAATAAATGTTGAGTGAAATAGGCATATTCTTGTATTTTAAGAGTCATAATAATTAATCTGAGAATAAATTATTT